AGCCCAGGGCCACATCTGCAAGAGGGCGTCGACGATGAAGGAGGAGAGGAAGGCAATGGCATCCTCACTTGCCTCTGCGATCAATACCCGCCTCCCAAAGCCATTGATGAAGGGCCTCACGGATAGGGGGTGAAATAGTTAGTAACGACATTACAATATAGAAAACAAAAACGATTAGTTCTAGATTTGCAAAATTAATGAATATAAATAGATTGAAAATGAATGTAAAACTAGTTGAAAATATCAAATTTTTAAATTTGGAAACGATGTCATAATATAGAAAACAAAAATGGTGACCCAATGAGATTTGTCCCGTTTAGTTTCACCGCTACTCATGGAGTCATGGTGATTGAGGGCAAAGTGTCGCCGAAGTACTCAACTAACACCCCATGACACAGAGTAGGTATAGGACCTTATTTTTTTTTGTTCTCGATTGTGTTAGTTGAAAATTCTGAAATGATGATCAAAAGAATCAGAAATAATCAAAGCGTTTATTGGGATTCTTGTTTTTTTTTCTTTGAGAATCCGATTATAAGCGGAAACAAACATGGTCAAGGACACGAGAGATAGGGGGGAAATCAGTGAACTGGTGGCCTGATTGATCTACGAGGTGGATGACGTCGCATGTCACGTAGGAGTCAATACAATGGACTAGATTGAGTCCAGAACAGTAGTTGAAGGACAATAGTCACTTGATATAGACCAAAATAGCTTTTCCACCTATCTTTAACTTTCGAATCCAGAGTTCAAGCTCTGGCTTATCATTGGGCCACGTCACTGACGAAGCTCAGCCGTTGGATCACCTATGCTGCCTTCGATCGAGCCGTTGCTCTCGGGTCCTCGACGTTACTGCTCTCGCGACTCTTCGCGAGAGCTCGTGGCGTTGGCGCGGCCGCCGCTGGCACCATCCTCAACCTTCCCATGTACCATGGCTCTATCTTCTCCTTCTTCCATGTACCTCATGCCTCAGCCGTGTTTAGCAAACGCCTGTGATGGCCGTGGCCGCCTCGTCGGGCACGTGCAGAGACCGCGCCAGCAGTTCTTGCCGCCGCAACGGTGGTGAACGCGGCCCCAGGAGCGACGAGCAGAAGCAAATCGCTGGCGAGTGCGGTGGAGAACCTGACGAGAAGGTGCTCGAGAGCTCTCCTCTCTTTGTCTGCCTCCTCTGCTGATCTACGCAGACCACCTGCCCACGTCTCGGGTCGCCGGCTCGCCGCCGCCCTTATCTAGGACGCTGCCGCAGCGGGAATATCGACGCCGCTGCGGGCTCGAGGGCCTCCTCGCCGATTGCATCGCAGTACGCCTGCTCACCTGCAACATGCTCTCCACCATGCCTGCGGCGCTTGGGCTTGGCCATCTCGCGTCCTCGTCCACCGGTCGCCGCACCCCCGCGGCCAAAAGGACGCACCTCTATTTGTTTTCCCTAGCACCTTCTGCCTAGCTGCCGCCTGAGGAGTAGCGTGGGACGGCACGTCACTGAAGAAAGCTCGGTATAGCAGATGCTCGAGTGACGCCCCCTTGGTGTTCGATGAAATGGCCGTCCGAAAATCATGGTCTTCCTGCCGCTTCGCCGTCCTAAACAGTAGACGGTGCCAATTCTGAAGCGGGCCTTCACGGTCGCGACGGGTACCCATCAGATCGGCAGTCGCCAGCCAGCTATCGGCGTTCGTGCGGGTACCGTGTGCTGCCGTACGGGGGCGCTGACGGTGGAGGAGTTCCGAGCGTGGCTGGCGCAGTTCGACGCGGACCGCGACGGACGGATCAGCAGGGAGGAGCTGCACGCCCTGCGGTGTGGAGCACGACGCGGAGGTTGAGGCAGCCTGGCTGTGCGTTCATGGCATCAAGATCATGGATGCCATTTCTTTTGTAAATCCTCGTGGTAGACTTTGCAGATGCAAAGCCAGAGCAGCTTACAGAATCTAGGGAGGAGGATGGTTTAGCATCCTACTTATGCCCTTAGGCGGCAGTTGGTACAACACAGTCTTCTTTCTGAATATTGGGTATATTCAATATCCTTTTCATTGTTGTTCTTATGTCAAACTCCAATATTTTCATGCAAGTTATGTGAATATCACATTGCTAGGAGTCAGTTATTATCAATGTTTTTTGGGTACATTTTTTAGTTTCATGTTCTTGGGTTTCTGGATGAATGTGAGCAGAGGATGGAGATGTGAGAGCTCATGCTGCTGCTTGCTTGCTGCTGCAACACTGTTTGGATCCAGAGCAGCAGTTTTTCTCCTGCTATGGGAGGATTCATGATGAAATGTTACAGGGACAAATATACATTTCAGAAACAACATGGGAATGATCACACTGGGTGATCTGAAGGGAGCTCGGCATTAGTGGCATGGTGACCTTGGAGTGCAGGAGGTTCGTCGCTCGCTCTAGATCGATCTAAAACCGAATCTACGAGGAGCTGACATTCCGCTAAGCGGTCCGTGATCCGATCGATGGCTTCGATCAGATCGTCATTGTTGATGAATCTCCTAACCCAGCGGCAAGGCGTCGGGATCGGAGATATCGTTGTAGATGTTGGCATGATCAGCGCAGGGTGATCCTGCACCGCCTTCATGATTTTCCCGCTGCCGTCAGGGCCAATGACCCAAGTCATGGATCCGACCGTGAAGATCTGGCCCAGCTCGGGAAAGGCCATGGAGCTGGGGAAAGTGACCATCTGGTTGGCCATGGAATCAGCACGCACACCCCCTACCTGACGCGTCACTGTCGACGAAATCTGGTCGGCAGTCTACCGAGGGGTATACCCACGGTAGTAGATAATCGGTGGAGGTGCGCGTAATAGGAACCACATTGTGACACCAGGCGCAGAGACAGCGATTTAGACAGGTTCGGGCCGTCTGATCGACGTAATACCCTACGTCCTGTGTGTCTTTGTTAGATTGTATTGAATATAAGATGAATTCGAGGGAGTCCCTGCCCGCCTTATATAGTGTAGGGCGGCAGGGTTACAAGTCGGTTAGATCTAGATCTATTCAGGTATATGATAAGTATTTACGAGGAATACGATATCTATCATATCCGAACATATTATTATCTATCTTCAAGATACCTTCCTAGAACCGTGTGATGCATGTCGATCAGTGTCTTACATCACACGTCTTCTTCTTATGGGTTGGACCACGCCTGGTGCTGCGGTCCATGTCTATTGCCGTGGGTCTTCAGGGTACCCGCTTCATCATCGTCCATGGCAATCGTGAACCTTCACGAGCGGCACCTGGTTCCGCCCGCTCACCTCCGCCGCTCCGCGTCCACATTCTTTACCGCAACCCCTCCTCGGCTTCGCACTGGTGAGGCACGCGGCCGTGATGACCAGTGGCGGCGGAGCCCACACGTTCTAGGCCAGAGGTGGCGGCGCCCGTTCCAGGGGTGGAGGTGGAGGTGGAGGTGGAGGCTCAACCTCACCGAGTCTGTCCGCCTTGAGTGCTGCACCACCGCCTGGGCATCTAGGCCCAGCTTCTTCGCCTCGCCGATGACCCCGTGCCTACGCAGCGCGCGTGGCTCAGCGGCAAGAGTTGTGCTACTGTCGCTGATTTTGGATCGCTGGTGAGTCTCGATCTTACTCGTGGGCGCGATGTACGGAGGTGCGAATGCTCGCATAGCTTCCCAGTTTAATGGTTGCTGATTCATTTCCAGTAACGCTTAGTCTCAAATTATGTTCAACCTGCAAAAAATTATATTCCAACAAGCAGTATTACTAGGATCTTAATAGTCAGTTGGTTGAACACGGTACTCGGAGTCCATAAAAGCAGCAACAGCTTTGTTTAGGTAAAGATGTTTCCTTGTTTCTTCTGGGATTAGCTGACCTGGTGATTCTGGATGAAATGAGGCGCCGAGGTAATTAGTTAATAAAGGAAAATGACCTTGAAATTGTAGTGTCTCCTACAAATTAGGGGCGTGATTCACTCGCCCTTCTGAGAGTTGCATTTCTTTTAAAAACTAGCCCCACTAACTAACAGCCAAAACCATTCCTAAGGCAGTAGGGCTCCAAATCTCAGCAGTTCAAGAAATCTTGATGTCTTTATGAAGCCTTCAAAATATTACAGACATACATGATACATGTTTTCTTTGGCATAGAGACATAACCAATGATCCAATTAGAGGCTGTACATATCCTACTAGTATCCATAGCGTTTGCCAAACTGTTTCTTATGGAGACTGGAGACCAAGAATATGACTCTGCATTTGTCAATTAGGTCTACCAAAATTATTTCTTAGTCCTTACAGATGACTATTTTGAACAGGACTTCACTGGTATCATTTCTACGTGAGAGAGGATGGCGCCAATATTCATATGGGGTAGTTCCCGGGCCTAGAAAGGGAGGTCCGACTACTTAACTACTCCCTTCGTTCCAAGTTAAAAGTCATTCCAAAAATTTTGAAAGGTAAAAAGATCTCAAGTTTGACTAAATTTATAAAAAGAATTTAAAAGATTTATGATATCAAATTTATAAAGAGAATTAAGCTGCGGGTGTTTCTCCATAGGATGGCTGTAATTTTTCTTTTCTTAAGAGGTGCCCTTTACGGTCGACCGGATGTATATTGGTTCTTTTCCACTGAGTGTGGGCCAAACTGCAGGCGACAGCTGCCAACGTGGGTCCCATGAAGCGTACGATATCCATAGACTCCCTTGCCACTGAGTGTGGGCCAAACAGCAGGCGACGCGGCTTTTCCGCATTGGAGTAATGGAGTTGTTGTCGTGCGCGTGCATCACGACAGGCTGACAGCGAAGGCGCGCAACTTTGAGGAAGCTTCCTTGCCCACTCGCACTTTCTCTTTTTTTACTTTTATTTTTATTTTCATTTTCTGACGAAGCCACGCACCAAGACACCTTGGACTGAGCTTCATCGAAGGTTCACAATCGCATCGTCTGCAAGAGTAGTATAAAGAAGCTCGATCGACGCAGTGAGCGGCACTACCATGCAAAGGGCTTAGATTTTGCAAGTGAGTTTATCCCTGTTATTCAATTCCTGTCGGAGTCGGACATGGCCACCGCTCTTCAAGCTGCCGTCCCCAGGCCACACAGTGCGGGGGAGCAATTCCTTCTGAAGGATCAGGAGGCGAACAACCCCGACGTCCGCCGCGCCGAAGATGGCGACAGGAGTGTCCCCTGGTTCACCTTGCTGGGTCTCACCATTCTCACCTTCAACTCCGGGATGGCTATCGTCCGGTCGCAAGGAGATGCGATGGCCATTGCCTTCGTCGGGTTTTCCTATGCCGATCTGCTCGCACTGTTCGCCTGCCTGAGGATGTACGAGCGAGCACCTGCCGGCTCGTCCACGAGAGGGTGGCTCAAGGTCGCTGTGTGGATCTTGACGACGCTACTCACCTTCGCTTTCTCTTCCAAAGTCGCGGCCGTTATGCCACCCACGGTGGCGCTGCTTGTGTGGCTCGTGGCTTTCGCGACTGTTGCCGGAGGATTCGTCGCCTTCTTCGTCTACAAGGAGAAGCAATGATTAAGGTACGCATGTGCGTTCAGATAACGAATCGAGTTATCACTTGTTTTTTTGAATGTGATATATTGTGGGCTTAGCCTGTATAATATTTAAAAAAATTAAATAAAATTCTATGGTGAGTAAAATTAAGCGTGGTATGGTTTAATACCGTATGAGATTTTTACTGAACGTTTACTCAGCTTATATGATTGGAAATTATCCATCTTAATTAAGAAGCTGAGAAAAGGACAAAGGGGTGCCCCGCGCGCCGTCGCCGCCACCACCTGGCAAGCGGGCGGGCGGGGCCAGTTTTGCCACTTAAATCCACATAATCTTGGGAGTTTCTCTCTTTGATGGTGGAGGTAAACTGATTGCGCCAGTTACCGTCCATTCCGCTCTCCGTCTCCTGGGATTCTCCGCTGCTTTTCTCCCTTCCCGTCGCAGCCATAAATCCGTAGTCCTCCATCAGTCCAGTCTCTCTGAAACCGCTTGCCTTCCGAGAGAGGCCACATCTCAGCAGTCCTCTAACTTCCCCGTCCCGTACAGAAATCCATAGTCCTTCATCAGTCAGTCTCTTTGAATCCGCTTCTGCTTGCCTTCCGAGAGAGACCACATCTCAGCAGCCATCTGGCTTCCCCGTCCCGTACCTCTGCGCGCACGGAGAAGCGGGAGAGCAGGTGCCTCCGGAACCCTCGTCCGTCTGTTAACCTTGCACGGGGTGTGCGGCGATTAGGATTTTGTGGAGCGATTCCGCGACTGCTTGTTCGACATCTTCTTCCTCGCGGAACCAGTCTTCTTCCCGGTGATTCGTTCGTGGGACTGCACTGCGAACATCGTCCTGCATCGACTGTGGTCCACGACTTCGAGCAACGCACTATGTCGACTAGTGCGAATGGAGCCTCCGATGCCCTCGGCATGGGACCCTCCGCTGGGTACAATCTGATATCTATGATTACCGCATTTTGCATTCTTACTATATCGATGTGTATGTCATGTCTGCATGCTGTAGCGTTCGTTAGTGATATACACATATACATATATGCCGTCACGAATTTGCTGATGTTATATTTCTGGATTAAATTGATAATGAAAATGCCTAATTATCTAACAATAAAAAACCTAATCTTAGGCAATTTTCTGTCAGTGGTTTTGCTGCTGCTTTGAAGCCAAATAATTTTGATGGCGAGAATTTTATGATATGACGTGCCAAGATGGTATTATGGTTGACTGCGATGAACTGCTATCACGCCGCACAGAGAAAGCCTGAACAGTTTACTCCTAAGGAGAAGTAAAAGTTCTTGGCTACCGATAACTTGTTTCGAGGCACCGTGATTAGTGCACCTCATTCTAAGTATGAGAAAAACTACATATCTTGCACATCAGGCAAAGAGTTATAGGATGCTCTTAAGGCAAAGTTTAGAGTTTCTAATGCTGGCAGTGAGCTGTACCTTATGGAGTAGCTGTATGACTATAAAATGGTTGAAAACCGTTCTGTAGTCGAACAGGCTAATGAGATACAGGCACTAGCAAATGAACTAGAATATTTTCTATGCCTGTTGCCCGATAAATTTGTGGCCGACAGTATAATCGCTAAGCTGCCACCTTGTTGGAGGGATTTTGCTATTTCTCTAAAACACAAGAGACAAGAGTTTAGCGTGGCTGAGCTTATTGGATCTCTTGATGTTGAGGAGAGGGAGAGAGCAAAAGACAACCGTGGAAAAGAATTTGAGTCTTCCGCTGCCAATATGGTGCAGAAGAAAAACTCATTTGCATCCCGTAATAAAAAGAAAAAGAACATGCAAGAGAACAACAATGTAAAGCCTAAGCAAACTGCATAGTTTAAGAAGAAAAACAACAAGAAAGGTGGAGGTTGATTTGTTTGCGGGAGTGATGAGCATTAGGCAAGTGCGTGCCCAGACCGCAAATATAAACAAGAAAAGAAATCAGCAAACGTGATGATTAGCGAGACTGGAGGAGGAACATCTGGGTATGGTAATTCTTTATGTTTTGTTCTTTCAGTTTGTCTTTCGCTAAGTGGTGGAAGGACAGCGGTGCTAATATTCATGTGTGTGCTGATGTTGCTTTGTTTACTTCCTATCAGGCCGGTAGGACTGGAGCCTTGCTGATGGGAAATGGTTCACATGCGCGTGTTCTTAGTGCTGGTACGGTCGTTCTGAAGTTTACTTTAGGAAAGACGGTGCTATTAAAGAACGTGCAGCATGTCCCCTCCATAAAGAAGAATCTTGTTAGTGGTTTTCAAATGTGTCAAGATGGCTTTAAAATTGTGCTTGAGTCCAATAAGTGTGTTGTGTCGAGACATAGAATATTTATTGGAAAAGGTTATGATTGCGGAGGCTTGTTCCTCTTATCTTTGCTTGATGATGTGTGTAATAAAGTAGTGAACAATGTTAATGTTTAGGATGAGTCGAATATATGGCATTTACGACTTTGTCACATTAATTTTGGCTATCTCACGCGGCTTGTAAATCTGAATTTAATCCCGAAATTTAACTTAGTCAAATATTCTAAGTGCTAGGTGTGTGTGTGCAATCGAAGCAGCCGCGCAAGCCTCACAAGGCTGCTGAGGCGAGGAACTTAGCACCATTAGAACTCGTTCATTCTGATTTATACGAAATGAATGACGAATTGACTAAAGGCGGTAGACGATACTTCATGATATTTATAGATGATTGTACTAGATTTTGCTACGTGTATTTATTGAAAACTAAAGATAAAGCGTTGCATTATTTTAAAGTCTATAAAGTTGAGGTAGAAAATCAACTTGAGAAGAAAATCAAGCGTTTGCGGTCCGATCGCGGGAGAGAATATTTCTCAAATGAATTTTCTAAGTTTTACGCGGTGCATGGAATTATTCATGAAATGACGCCACCATACTCACCACAGTCCAATGGGATTGTAGAGAGAAAGAATCGCACTCTAACTGATTTGGTTAATGTCATATAAGAGACTGCGGGACTATTTAAGTAATGGTGGGGTGAGGCTATATTGACAGCGTGTCATGTCCTGAATAGAGTACCCACAAAGAACAAAGAAATTACACCATTCGAGGAATAGGAGAAGAAAAGATTAAATCTGTCTTAATTGCGAACTTGGGGTTGTTTGACAAAGGTGAATATGCCAATAAACAAAAAGCGAAAGCTTGGACCAAAGACGGTTGATTGTGTTTTTCTTGGTTATGCTATTCACTGTGTGGGTTATAGATTTTTAATTATAAATTCTAGTGTTCCTGAGATGGCTGTTGATACAATCATGGAATCTAGAGACGCTACATTTTTTGAGAATGAGTTTCCCATGAAAAATGCACCTAGCACGACTGGTCATGAATTTATAATTTCCCATGAGCATAAAAATTTTACTCCGATAGAACAAATTGAGGAACCCTTTATGCAAAATCCTAAGGAGGATGACACTATACTCACTAGAAAAAAGTAAGAGACAGAGGACTGTAAAGTCTTTTGGTGATGACTATATTGTGTACCTTGTGGATGACACACCAATGACCATTGAAGAGGCATATTCCTCTCCTGATGCTGACTTATGGAAGGAAGCAGTACAGAGTGAGATGGATTCTGTTATGTCTAATGGAACTTGGAAAATTGTTGATCGTCCTTATGGGTGCAAGCCTATAGGGTGCAAATGGGTGTTCAAGAAAAAGCTTAGGCCTGATGGTACTATCGAGAGGTACAAGGCAAGGCTTGTGGTCAAGGGTTATACTCAAAAGGAAGGTGATAATTTCTTTGATACTTACTCACTGGTTGCCTGATTGACCACAATTCGAGTTTTGCTTTCCCTGACAGCCTCTTATGGTCTTATCGTTCATCAAATGGGCGTTAAGATAGCTTTCCTAAACGGAGAGTTAGAGGAGGAGATCTATATGGATCAGCCAGATGGGTTTGTAGCAAATGGTCAAGAAGGCAAGGTGTGTAAATTATTAAAGTCATTATATGGCCTAAAAAACAAGCTCCTAAGCAGTGGCATGAGAAGTTCGACAGAACTCTAACATCTACTGGCTTTGTTGTGAATGAAGCTGACAAATGTGTGTACTATCGGTATGGTGGGGGTGAAGGAGTTATTTTGTGCTTATATGTTGATGACATACTGATCTTTGGATTTGGCCTCAAAGTGATTGAGGAGATAAAGGAATTTTTAACTAATAATTTTGAAATGAAAGATTTGGGAGAGGCTGTTGTTATTCTTAATATCAAGCTTCTGAGAGAAGGTGATGGCGGGGTAACTCTGTTACAATCCCACTATGTGGAAAAGGTGCTGAGTCGCTTTGGGTTTAGTGACTGTGCATCTGCTCCTACACCTTATGACCCGAGTGTGCTATTGAGGAAAAATCAGAGAATAGCAAGGGATCAGTTGAGATATTCCCAGATCATTGATTCGCTCATGTATCTTGCTAGTGCAACAAGGCCTGACATCTCATTTGCTGTGTGGAAGCTGAGCCAGTTTGTGTCAAACCCGGGAGATAATCACTGACGTGCTCTTGAGAGAGTGATGCGCTATCTAAAGGGCACTATGAGCTATGGTATTCATTATACCGGACACCCGAAGGTGTTGGAAGGCTATTGTGATGCCAACTGGATCTCTGATGCTGATGAGATTTATGCCACAAGTGGATATGTGTTTTCGTTTGGAGGTGGTGATGTTTCCTAGAAGTCTTGCAAGTAGACTATCTTAACGAAGTCTACAATGGAAGCAGAACTCATAGCATTAGACACTACTGGCTCTGAGGCCGAATGGCTTCGTGATCTCCTTATAGATTTACCGGTTGTTGAAAAACCCATACCGATTATTTCTATGAACTGCGATAACCAGACTGTGATTACGAAGGTTAACAGTTCTAAGGATAATATAAAGTCAACAAGGCATGTTAAGAGACGACTAAAATCTATCAGAAAATTGAGAAACTCCGGAGTAATAGCGTTGGACTATGTTCACACGTCTAACAATCTGACAGATCAATTCACTAAGAGTTTGTCACGCAATGTGATAGA